TGCTCTCTCTCTCTCATTCTCTCTCTCTCTCTCAAATAAATAAATAAAATCTTTAAAAAAAAAAAAAACCATGCTTGGCAGTCAGTGTATTAGGTGCATTCCATTACAGCTGACAGAACCAGACTTTGGTAGCAAGAAACTGCTTTGGTGGCTGAGTTCGTGAGGAGGGAGGGGTGGGAGGAAGGGCTGTGTAGACGGGGAGCCACAGAGCGGCCACATGCAAGAGGGAGAGCCCCGCAGCCCACTCCCTGTGGGATCCAGCCTTGCTCACTCTCAGCCTCTGAACTCCCCCCCTCTATAGCAGGAGTTCTTTAGGGACTCGTAACAGGGCATAATGGGAAGGTCAGCCCACACCATCAGCACCTCCACCCCAAGCCCATGCAAAGAAACCCCGGCTTTTCTGTTGTAGCCCCAAACCCAAAAGGGTTCCATACGCTAGCACTGGTGTTTCAGAAAGAAGACCATTATCTGCCATCACAAATCACTGAAAACCTTCATTTAAGAAACATGCCCCATAGGCTTTTAATTACAGTGGTTTGGAACAAAGCAGCAGAGTGAATGTTTCATGAGCCTAAATTATTTTCCATGTTCGGAGGTAAAATTAAGGAGAAATTCTGGCCATCGCTTTTCCATGAATTCCAACCGTTTGTGTAATAAACTCTTTGGCAATAAATATACTGGTACACTAATGGCCGGAGCTTGAGATATTCTGAAAAAAATAGGAAACTGAAATACAGCCCTGCCAGGATGGTATTTTTACGGTGGAGCTATTTTTCCTCTAAAATCTCTGGTGCTTCATTTTCAAGATGTTTTACAAAGGTTCCTTGTAGTTTTTAAAACAACAGTTCAACAAATTTGGGTGCCAGTAACAACGAAACACAACACAGCAGTGCCTAATCACAAAAATCTACCAGAATGCAAGGCTCTCAGCTAGTCCCTACCCTACGGTGAAGGACACACAAACAGGAAACTTCAGGAAGCTGTAATTGCACTGCATTAACCACAGCACTTAAGCCAGAGACAGAATCAAGTTCAGGCTTGGGCACCTCAACCTGTGTTCAAGACGCTGGGCCCTGGACTGTTGGAGATTCAAAGCAGAATGTGACATGGACACGGAATGTGACAAGGAATTTTCTAGATTGCTGTTCTAGATTATGTGGCTGGTACATAGTGTACAGATGTCACTTCTCTTCTCAAAAAACCAAAGTGGCTCTCTGCTGTCTACATGAACTCAAATTCCTTAGCATAGCATTAGACATCCTCTTTTCTACCCTTCCAGGCTTGTTTTCTATGACTCGGGAATCACTGATAACACAGCCAAGTTGGACAGGTCACCCCTTGGGCACTGCCCCTCTGCCGTGGTTTATCTTCTTCTTTGCCCCTGGGAGGGTGCTCCTCCTGTCATGCCCATGCTGAAAGGTCTGGCTCAAAATTAACCCTTTCCACGAAGCCTTCTGAGGGTTTCTCAACTACATAATCCCGCACTTGGACCCCAGCTCCAACAGAGCCTTGGTTGAACTGCACCTCAAATACATATTGTTCAGTGGATTGTAGCTACGTGCATATTTCTCCCATCACCTCTCTTAGCTCACACTTTAGTGAAGGACAGGAATCACCTGTCCTTTATGAGCAAGCAATGTGGTCTTGCCAGCAGGAGGTCTCAAAAACACTGGTGAGACTAAATTGAAAGATAGAGACATTACATGAAGCAATAACTTAGGAGAAGCAAGCATGAGATATAGGTATGTTCTTTGGGAAGGGGAGACAAGAGAAACAATGGAGGCTGGATGGGCAGGGGAAACTAATCTTGAGGAGGGGTTTACCTGCTCTCAACTTCCCTTTCAATTTCTACAGAATACTGGAAATGACTTAATCCAATCTTTTTATAGGCCATTTATCAAGATGTCCTAAAGTTGACTCAGCAACCAACTACCACCGCCACTTCCGGCCACTTGGGCTGTGTTCCAATACCTACAGTGAGCTGCACATCTGGCATCTTTTCCAGAAGAACCATGTCACCAGGCAGGCCAAAGGACTTGATTTGGTAGGTGAGGTAGCCACCATATGAAGAAACCTAAAATTGAAATGACAGGATCAAGAGCACAAGCATGAGAAGAGCCTATGGCAACATTAACCCGCATAAAAAGCACACAGGCATGAAAGATCCGGAAAGATACCATCAACCCGTTAGGAGTCATCTTGGGAGCGAAGAACTGAAGATGGTATTTTAACTTTCTACTTTGTACCATTTTATATAATTTAAAATGCTTAGCGTGAACATGATTGTTTTACAAGTAAGAAGATGCTTCTCTTAAAAAGAAAAAAACTAGTCACACAGAAAGAAGTAAGATCCTCCTATTCCCGATGACTACTAAACCAGTGTTCATTTAACCTATAGCTATCCTAAGAAATCTAGGTCATTTGTTTCTTATTTCACTAAGAGAATTGGTTAATATCTATCCGTTACAAAATGAACCTCTAGAAATAATTTTTTTTTTAAAAAAAACTTCCCCTGAGAGCAGATGGTGAGTCTTTCCTACGTGATCATACGTAAGCCATGTCCGACTGCGCCAGCAGGTATGGGACCCTTTCTCAATGCCACCTTCGTGGCACGATCATGGTGGAGGCCTAAGGTTATAGTTTTGTGACGGCTACTTCACCTCCGGTCCTGACACTTCCCACCCTCAAGGTAAAAAAAACCAGTCAAGAAAGGAGTAATTGAGAGATGAAAGTGAGAGGCACTATCACCTCAGAGTGGTAGTGGAGGACAGAAGGCCCTTCATGAAAAACACAAATAACTTGGAGCAGGGGAGAGGGAGTAGCATTTCTGGGCCCCCAATTTACTGAACTCCCCTAGAAACTGCAACCTGACAAAGTCATAGAGTTATGATCGTAGAGTCTGGAAGTATTCCAGGATAACATCTTAAATCATCCTATGGAGATTAAATATTGCCTTTCTGATGGGCAAAGGTGGTTTTTAAAATATGTCCACAAATTCTTTGATACTGGTTTTTAAAATATGTCCACAAATTCTTTGATACTCTTGCCTTCAAGAGGTGGAGCTTCATTCTCCTCCTCGAGTACGGACTAGACTTAGTGACTGGCTTCTAATGAAGAGAATATGGCCAAGGTGAGGGTATGTTATTTCTGAAATTAGGTCCTAAAAAGACTGTGGTTTCTATTTTGAGTTTCTTTCTTTTTTTTTTTAAGATTTTATTTATTTATTTGAGAAAGAGAGAGAATAAGAGAGAGAGAGCATGAGAGAGGGAGGGTCAGAGGGAGGAGCAGGCTTCCCGCCGAGCAGGGAGCCCGATGCGGGACTCGATCCCAGGACTCCAGGATCATGACCTGAGCCAAAGGCAGTTGCTTAACCAACTGAGCCACACAGGCGCCCCTATTTTGAGTTTCTTTCTTTCTCTCTCTCTCTCTTTCTATTGGTTATTTTAAGGGAAGCCAGGTGCCATATCAGGAGGACCCTCAGGCACCACCTGGGGGCCTCGTCTGATGAGGCCCTGAGACCTCGGCTCAGCAGGCATCGAGGAACAGAGGCCTATAACAACCACATGACTGGGCTTAGAGGTGGACTCTCCAGTTCTGGTGACTCCAGCCCTGGCTGACATCTTGCCCACGACCCTAGGAGAGACCTTGAGCCATCCACTCCCGAATTCCTGATCCACAGAAACTGGGCAAGAGGACTGTTGCTTTAAGCTGCACCGTTTTGGAGGTAATTGCATAATGATAGATGAGCTATATGTGGACTTGCCATGTGGAGGTGAAGATGGGCATTAAGTGAGGGAGGAGAGGGATTATACGAGAGGAGCAACATTGCCCACACTCAAAGGTCAAAACCCAAAGTCCTTCAACCAGAAGATAGAACTACAGACCTCAGGCTGACAAGGCCCTAATATTTAGTGATTCTAAGAGAATACGGTGCCTCCTGAGCTGGGCCCTGTGAAATCTACACCTTCTAGAACACTCTACCCTCTGCTACCCAGGTGCATATGTTACCTGATGATGTTTCTACAGGAAGCCCACACGTCTGTCCTCCAAAATGAGTGTAGGGGGCCAGGCTATGCCAATTTATGCAGCAAAGGAAGAGTAACTCGTTTATAAGCTCCCCGAGGAGTGTCTTGCTAACTGCATGTGATTCAGCTAATGGCAGCCAAGCTGCCTCCGGATCCTGCGCTTCTTTTAATAAGCTCGTGAGTCACTTTTCAGCTTTTGTTTTCCTGACAAGGAGCCTTTCTTCTGCTTTAAAACAAAGAATTCTTAGCACTGACGTTTAAAAGCACACATGTCCCATTTGCAACAGATATTATTTAAATGGTTAAGTAAAAATGGAGAAAAACATGGTGCATGATTTCCTTCGCTGGGGAGCTAATGCATGTCGGGTACATGAGGCTCCTAGGCCCTCAGCCCCTCCCAGGGGAGGGCAGCATCTTTTCTGCATTTGTAGCTCATCTGATTTCTTCAGCTTTAGTAACCCGAACTTCCTGATGCTTCCTTCCAGACAGGAAATGATACTCACGCCGCGACAGAGGAGGCGCGACGAGGGCTCAGGAGAACAACAGGACGTCCTTACCTTGTCTCCCAGGTAGGAGAGAGGTGCGACCCAGGATGCACTGTGGACTGTGGAGGGCAGCTCCTGGAGGTCTGCAACCATGCTGCTGCTGCCCGGGTTGAAGGAGACGAGGATGTCGGCTCTGTCTGCCGTCTCCAGGCGCCAACCCATCATGTCCACAAACTGGAACACAACAGCCAATGATGGAAACATGTGTGTGCCTGCAGCGTCTCTGGTGATGGCTGAATTATGCAGAACAGAAAGAATCTTGGGGCAGCCATCTTGTTCCAGAGGCTTCCTTTATATGCCTCCTCCTGAGCTTGCACAGAACTCTCAGCCAGCACTGCCTCCCAATGACCCATGACAACTAGGAGTTCTCAGACAGTGGTGACCATACGTATGTGGGATTTATCTTTGTATCCCAGCACACAACCTGGTTTTGACATTTAGTGGGTGTTCAATAAATGTCCGAGCAATAGATAAATAAGTGTGGGAATAATAACTAGGACTGTGGGCACATTTTAATGGTAAGCTCCTTAGGGAGCAAATGTGAGGGGGAATACAATGGCCTGCTATCATTACTTTTCTCAAAATAAATCCTCATAACTAAATATTTCCCTGATCATCCAGGAAGCCAAGAGTTAAATAATGAGGGGGGAAATAAAAGGAACTGACAAGACATTGATTAGGAATAATGCTTCTGGGCTCCCCTGGGGGTAGAAGACTTCCGTGGATTTACAAACTAATTTTTTTTCCTTAACTACAAGCTTACATTCCTTTTGGGAATGGAATATATAAAATAATCTTTCCTTGACTATCTGTTGGACATAAGACATTATTCACACAAAGAAAGCAAGCACAAGACTGCTGGTTCATGGAATAATGGAGGCAACAAAAGTTTTAGTTTCGTGGAGTTAATTTAAAAACTCACGTAAATAATATAAAAATTTAACTTAAATATTCATGTAAAGTAGACGAGACAGAAGGAAAACAAGCAGATAAGAAGAAGCGAGGGGGAAGATCAATCAACTCCATTTAGCTGATGAGTGTTTATTGAGCACCTACTATATTCTGGATCCTGCTGTAGGCACCGGGAATGTATCAGGAGTTTACATGCTAGTGTTGGAGTAAGACACATAATAAACAAATTTTATAACTAAATGTATAGTATGTCAGGGAGGGATAAATGCTAGAGTACATTAAGGAGGGTGAGGTATAGAGTGACGAGGGTGAGCTTCATAGGGAGTGGTGAGGGAAGGCCCCTCTGAGCCGGGGACACTTGAGCCCACCAGACAAACTGAGGCACTGAGCATGAGAACATCTGTGGGAAGAACACTGCAAACAGAGGAATGGTGCAGGTGAAGCTTAACCCTTTAACAAAGTAAGATATAAAATCTCCACAAGCCCTTCATGCTTCGTGACAATCCACTTCTTCCCCATTCGGAAGTACTAACTAAAAACAAAACTTCTAATCCCTTGCATACCTTAGCTCTTCTTTTATGTGTACTGTGACAATGATTATTTATCCCAAAACAAAAGCAGCTGGTACAACCCTTGGGATTTGCTGGGTCCAAGTAGAACGATCCTTCTCGACACACATTACATTCTGTACCCTCCACATTCTCCTATTGAAATAAAACATAAAACAAGAGATCATTTCCTCTAAAGTTTCCCTGATTGCAGTTAGCTTAAGTGCCAATACAAGATGTTAGAACATGGATGCTAACAAAACATGAATAGTTACATCATTGTTAAGATTTCTGTCACATTAATTGTTTAAACTCTTCTACCACACTCAAGTGAAAAGAGAGAATTTTCTAGATCTCACAAGATGCCCCTTGGAATCTTGAAGGTAGAGAAATAGCAGCATGAGGATTCACAATATGGGGGTCTTGGTTCACCCCACTTACCACCACCTCAGGACATCTGCTGGGACTTAGAAGCTCTCCTACCACCAGACAGAACACCCTGGAGCAGATTATTAACCTGGAGTCTACGAGCTGGGAATAAGCTTCCAGGGAATCTATGAACCTCTTAAAATTGTAGACTAAGGTTTGTGTCAGTTTTTCTGGAAAGGGTCCGTACCTGCCTTGTGATTCTCCAAAGGGTAAGAGGGGTCTTCCCTTCTAACTATTTCTATCAAATGAGCTAAGAACTATTAAATGCTACATGCATTTTGGAAATCGATTACAGTTCAGCCCCACTTCCCATATATTTTTATATGTTGACTCAACACGGAGAACTTCCTCACTGACCAGTGGCTGACGTCCCTGGTATTGCATGTTCTGTCTTACCTTGCAGAGGCAAGCTCCAGTCACTGGGTCACAGATTCCTGGCTCGGTCCCATCCCTGTTGCAATGGCAGGGAAGGCAGTTGGGGAAGCGATGAAACCCGGAAGCACACCGGTCACACTGTCGCCCTGTGACTCTGGGCTTGCACCTATATTCAAAGCAAAGGAGACAAAAGCTTTCATCATCTTTCCCACATAGTTCTGAGGTCCACCTGCGCTGTAGCAGAGCAGCTCTGACCCTGCTTCCCTGGGGGAGGTGATGCCTGAGCTGAGCCTAGAAGGACAAGTGTCGTTGGGGCGGGTGTCCCAGACAGAAGGAACAGAGGGTGGATGAGTGGAAAAAGCTGACCCATGAACGGAAGAGGCAGGCAGGAGGCAGCTCATGTGGATGGACGGAGATGCTGGCGCTTCTGACACTGTTCAGTGGCGATGGAGCGAGGTAGCTGAGCCCTGGGCACTGAAGGCCCTCTGGCACACAACAGCTACCGTATCTTAATAACTTGCCAAGGCCTCAGATTCTCATCTGTGAAAGGGCAAAATTGCTAGCTGCTGCCTCGCAGGACCCCCATGGAGTCAGATGAGGCTATGCCTGGCACATGGCAAGCTCTTGGACAAGGAATCGCCACCTTGAAAAGTTTTAAGTAGGAAAGAGTGTGGCTGGAGTCAAGAAGGAGCAGGGAGTGAACTAGGGCAAAGACACTTGGGATGGAGAGGAGGGATGGGTTCCAAGCTATTTTGGGGTGAGGTTGCTGGGGCTTATAATGTTCTGGACGAGGGAACAGAAGAAGGGAAGGCAAGAAAGACCCTTGGTCATCCAGCCTGAGCACCAGAGTGGATGCTGGAGTGGACAGGGCTGTGCCTGGGCTCCAAGGAAGGCTCTGTGGGGAGCAAGGAGGCATCCACACGTCTGTGCACTTGAACCTCAAGAGTAGAGGTGAAAGCACAGAAGCTGACAGAGGGAGAAGAGCAGCGAGCTGCTAGCAGAACAGAGAAGCTCACCACCCCATGGGGTGAGGAGAGAAAGAGGAAGTGGGGGCCAGCCTTCCGAAGCTCAATCACAGAGCTCCACGGCTGACGTCTGGTGGGACCCACATGCTGATCTTTTCTTTTGTGGGTCTAAAGAAAGTACTAGGAAATGTGCTTTATATCAGAACGTTGGGAGTATAGTCTTTAAGAGATTTTTTTTTAAAGATTTTATTTATTTATTTGACAGAGAGATAGAGAACACAAGTACAGAGAGGCAGGCAGAGGGAGAGGGAGAAGCAGGCTCTCCGCCAAGCAGGGAGCTGGATGTGGGGCTCGATCCCAAGACCCCAGGATCACGACTGAGCTGAAGGCAGCCGCTTAACCGACTGAGCCACCCAGGCACCCCGGGAGTATATTCTGATATGAATTATTTTATCATCAACTTCTACCAATACCTGTTAAAATATCTTACCCAAGGGACCATCCTGAAAAAGAGAAATCTAACTTGATTTCCCACTAAGTTTGTCTTTGGCAAATATCTGCTTATAATGAGTACAGAATTTTGTGTTTGATTAAGAACACACACTGGAGACCAGGCAGCCTACCTTTGAATCCCAGCTTTGCTACTTACTAGATATAGAACCTTGAGCAAATGAACTTCTTTACAGCTGAGTTTACTTATCTGTAAACATGGAGATGATAATATCGACTTTGTAGGATTATTGTGAAAATTAAATAAAATAATATATGGAAAAGCCTTAGAGCAGAGCCATGCACACATATAAGAATTTGCTATTATTACTCTTGCGATGGCATTGGCTAAGGGGAGTGAATGGGACTCCCTTTATCCCACTTTGCACACCTAAAAAGACACAGTGTTTTACCTGCAAGGCCTATTGGCTGGTCAAATGTCATTTCAGGTGCAGGCCCATCCCCTTGTCTTCCTCTCCACCTGATACCTGTAGAAATTCTTTTTGTAAGGAAGTAAATGGTCTCCAAATCATACATATGGCAATATAGATAGAAAGGGTCAACATTCTGCTTGAAGTGAAGTGGTGGATGGAAACTTTGGAAGGGGGTCAGAGACTCTTCTGGGAAGCTGGATAAACTATGGGCCACTCACAGACTTTTTCTTTTTCTTTCTTTCTTCTTTCTTTCTTTCTTTTCTTTTTTTCTTTCTTTTTTCTTTCATTCATTCATTCATTCTCTTCCTCTCTCTCCAACACACACAAATTTGCATTCACTCTCAGAGGGTTCCTAGGCCCTGATTGATAATACCTGCTCTCTTATTGTGAATCTCAGACTAAATGCAATCAGACAGTCCAGCAAAAAAAAAAAAAAAGAAGACCATTGCCAGATGACTATTTCTGGAGGGAGTAGAGAGGGTAGAGCACAAGACTCCAGTGGTCTAGAGATGGGAATGAGGAGAGCACAGACAGTCCCGCCCAACCAAAATTGTCAGAAAGAGGAACCTTCGATCAGGAGAGGAACTTGGAGATGGCCTGACTTAGCCTGAGCAGGCTCCACTCCTCTCACCCGGCTGGAAGGAAAGGATGTTGTGCAGACTGCTATTGTCACCAACAGCCAACTGAGCAGCTTGTCGAACCAAAGTCCATGTTTCTTTTAGCAAACACGCAGGGCTCCTGGCTTACAGGTGCCTTAACTGAATGCTGGTGCCAAGGGAGCCACTCACATACTGAATGCCCTGGGTGGAAAAGGCCGAAAGGGGCCCCTGGAGCAAATGACCTGGACCCGGGCCTTGAAGGCGAGGACAGGCATACAGGAGCCTATTTTTTATATTTTCACTTGAGTGGAAAAGAAAAGAACTGGAGTGTTTTGCAGGGAGGGCAGCGTGGAAGCTGCTTGTTGAGATGAGGAGAAATGGAAGCAAAGTCATTCCTCGCCTCTGTATTTCAGCATGCTGTGAGATGGTGTTGGTGAGGACAGGTGGGCTGAGGCCGTGTGGCCACGTCAGTGACGTAAGCTCAAGCTCTGGACCTCACTCAACACCCAAGTAGCAACTGAGTGCATAGGAGTGGATGAGAAAAAGCAAAAAGCCGAGCAGAGTGAGGAGAGTGGGGACCTATGAGTTGACCCTGAGGACCCCAGATGGGACTGACAGGGAAGGGTTAACCAAAACACAGAGAATATAACCTCAGGATTCCTGAGCACTGAGTATATGAATCCTGGGCAAAAAAAACAAGCAACCAAAGGACTTTTTGGTGGTACCATGACAACAGGGAATGAAACTGTAAAGTCTGGCTGAACATCTCTTAGAAACTACCTGAGGTCAGCCTGACCTTGACACATTTCTCCAGAGAGATGCTGCCCAAGGAGCTGCCCTCAGTGCAAAGAAAAGAAGTTTCCATCAGAAGCTGCCTCTAGGTGCAGAGTGGCAGAGCTGGGGGTACAGGTCAAGTGGATTCATCTCCAAGGCAATGGGCTCATGGCCAAGCCTTATGTAGTAACATCTGTGCATGTGTGGGTGCTCTCCATGTGCACAGACAACTAGAAAATCGGGTGTTAGAGTGAACTCTACCCTTTGCTCATTAAGTACAGTGGGTCTCTTAATATCACACTCCCATCAACTCCAGTCGTAATCTAGAATCCAAAGTCTACTTCTGCATTCATCGATTCATTCAATAATCCCCGAGTGCTTCCTACACACATATCCTTGTGTTAGGGGATGCAGGAGGGAGGGGAAAAGTAGAGTAAGTCCATTTTGACCTTGGCACATTCTCACTGAGAAGACAGGACAGAGAGATGCAGGAAGTGAGGTAATCATATGAGAAATGGGAAGACTGGCTTGAGGCATTGAAATGAGGAGGATGTCCCTGTGGACGCACAGGCTTCATGCCTTCCAGAGTTTGTGCTTTTCACACATAATCCTTGAAGGATTTGCAGAATTTGGGGTAACAGCAGAGCGGGGAGGAGAACTGATACCTGGAGAACTGAACATATGTAAAGTGTTTAAAGAAAGTAAGAAAACCAAGCCAGAGAAGAAAGCTGAAAAAAGGCTTAAGTTAGGGAAGGGGGGGGGGCCATATTACCACGAAAGCTGGTCTTTATTCTACCAGGGAGTTGAGACAGGTTCTTGTGCAGAGAGATGTGATGCAAGTGGCACCTGGCAGACCCAGGTGCCCCCAAGGCAGCCTACACACATGGTGCTCGCCATGCCACATTGCCATTGGTGGCTAGTACAACTTCCCCTGCCAGACCGTGTCCTCTGATGCATGAAGCACAGCACCCAAACTGGAGCAGGTGCTAGATATAGTTTGAGCAATAAAACATGCTGGTATCTGACACCATAGAATTTAAGGCAAAAATAAAAAATCACAGTAACTGAGAAAAATGTTTCACCCTAGTTAAATAAAAATATTGAGAAGATAAAATCATAAACCTATATGCATTTATCAACATTGCCTCAAGTTCTGTAGACTAGATTAATAGTTCTATGTATTAGCGCCAAAGTTATGGGGAAAAGAGATTTTTAAATCCCAGGATAATTGTGTACTTGGCATATTCCCTTTCAATTAAGGGGCCAAAAAAAAAAAAAAAAGGAATGAATGAGTCCATGAGTAAACCAGGAAAAGGAAGGTCAATTAGGAAACCACCAATATCATTCAAAGATGAAGGAGTCAAAGAACTTAACCAAGGTGGCAGCAGAGAGCAGAGAGCCATGGAAAGAAAAGGGATAATACATACCTTGCCAGAAGTTGACACCTGATCAACTGTAGGGAAAAGGGGTTGATTCTTTTTTTTTTTTTTAAAGATTTTATTTATTTATTTGACAGAGAGAGACACAGTGAGAGAGGGAATACAAGCAGGGGGAGTGGGAGAGGGAGAAGCAGGCTTCCCCGCTGAGCAGGGAGCCCGATGCGGGGCTCGATCCCAGGACCCTGGGATCATGACCTGAGCCGAAGGCAGACGCTCAACGACTGAGCCACCCAGGTGCCCCAAGGGGTTGATTCTAAGATGATACTGGGATTCCAGGCTTTGGGGACTGGGAAGAGACTGTCACCAGTAAGTAGAATTAAAAAAAAAAAAAAAGGTCAAAGAGAGAAATGGTTTGAAAGGCAAGACAATGACATGGGTTTCCGCTATGGAATCAGAGTTGGAAGAATTTTGGAGTTGTGAAGGCCCTTCAAGGTCATCTAATACTTCATCATACATGTGAGGGGAC